TCGCTCACTGGCTCTCCCTGTGTGCCAGGCACCCCGTGGGCACTTTGTCACGCTCCCTTGAGCCCTCACAGCAGCCTCTGTCACCCAGGCATTTTCACTCCATTTGCAGGTGGAGCACAGTCAAGTCAGGTGACGCGGCTAAGGCCACACGACTAGGAAGAGGCAGAGGCCGGCTTCAGACCCAGGTGTGTCTGACGCCGGAGCCCTGGCTCGCCCTCACCTCTCCTCGATGCCACCTTCCCTTAGTCACCAACCTTAGCCAGTCTCCTCTGGACGTCTGCCCCGGTGCAGGCGGGAGAAGTGGTGGTAGCACAGGGAGACGTAGGTCGTGATGGAGTGCTCCTCACGCAGCCGGGCTGCCTCGTCCTCAGGGTCCAGCAGCCGAGCGATGCCCAGCCCCTGCCCAGCCACGCAGAAGCAAGATCGAGGCTGTGCCGTGGGCGGTGGGCGGTCAGGACGCAGGGAGCAGCAGTCAAGCAGGTCTGGCCTGGACAGGGAGCAGGACAGGGCTCCTCACCAGAGCCAGTTACTGCGGTGGGTTCACGTGGACTTGTTAAAAAGGCAAACAAGCTCCTGTTGGTCGTTCACACCTGACTGATCACCTGAGAGCCGGGCTGAAGGACTAGCTCTGACCGGATGGGGTGGGGGTAATGGCTCGGGGGCCCTGCTCCTGGGGAGGGGGGGCTTCGAAAGGGCAGGTGCTTGCAGGGAAGAGGACTGAGAACAGAATCAGGGACACAAAGTGGAGACAGGAAGGGGTCAAAGGCAACCCTGGCCAGGTCCATGGGGTTTCCTAGGAAAGGGGAGAGGTGATTGCAGATCAGGGCCTTGGCTAGCAGCCCCCTCTCCTTCTGTGCCCAGGCTGCAGTCGCCAGAGGGAGAATGGGCAGGGTGAGAACCTGAGCCCGGGAGCAGCTGGCTCAGTAGGTGGAGGCCTCCAGGAAGGAGGCTGAGGCCGGTCTCAGGCCAGGCCAGGGCCGGGAGCGCGCTGGGTCCTTCCTCTGCACCCCTGTGGGCGTGGATGAGGGCTGCAGCCGAGCCTGTCACTCCAGCTACGGGAGAAGTCGGTGATGCTGACGTGAGCGTAGCAGGCTGCCTTCCGCTGGCCCCAGACCAGCAGAGCTTCCTTGGCAGACAGCAGGGCTGCCCTGGCTCCAAGCTCCTCCTGCAGGACAGGTGGGGCGGCAGCAGTGCCTGTCTCTGCGGGGGAGGCAGGCTGGGTGGGGCTGAGATGCTGTTCCCCTTCCCCATGAGGGCTGGCTGTGCCCTCGGGTTGTCTGAAAGCTGTCACCTCCGAGCAGCTGGCTTTCAGCTGCAACAGGAGCAGTAGCTCCCGTTCCTCAGCCCTTCTAATGGGCCAGGCTTAGTGCTCACCAACCCTACGCCGCATGGAAGCAGGCGGCTCCTGGTCACTGGGCTTTCTGCCAGCCAGGCCTCGGGCCCATACACACAGCTCTCCATGCCTCAAGTGCTTCTTATTAAAGCTGGGAACCTGCTGCCCTAGGTCTTTTCACTTGGACGGGAGGAGGAGTGAATCCAGGGAGAAAGGAACAAATAAACATCAAAGCCACGTGTGACCTGGGTCCTTTCACCTGCCGGCCATGGCCCCCTCTCCTGGGTCACATGGCAAGGCCCAGAGGGTTCTTGCACTTCCCTGAGAGTGTAAGCACAGGCCGCAGGGCCTTTGCACTGGCTGTCCTGGTGTCTGAAAATATTATTCTCCCCAATTACCCTATGGCTACCTCCCTCCCTTCCTTTGCTCAAATGCCACTTTCTCCGCGAGGTCCACCCTGGCCACTTTATTTAAATCAAAGCCTGAGGACTGTTCCTCCTGCCCAGACACATAGGCTGACCCCTTTACTCTGCTTGGGTGGGGATCCTGGTTTTGTTCCCTGATGCTCTCTCAGCGGGAACACTGTGCCAGGAAGGCCTCCTTCTGGACTCAGGCTCCAGAGCGACCACTATGCCCTGTGGCCAGCCCAGGAGAGATGGTCTAGGAGTCCAGCCTGTCCCCGCTGCCCACCCAGCACCCACCCAGAAAACCCCTCCCTGGTGCCCACCTTGGCCCTGAGGAAGGCCAGACCCAGCTGCTGTTCTCCAGGAAGTGCACGTGCATTCGGCCCTGGGGGGAGGGGGGTGGCAGGGCCTCACCCGAGATGAGCTCCAGCAGCCGCCATAGGTGGGTGCCGTGGGCCAGCTCTGTGTACAGTTTCTGGACCTTGAGGCCCACCTGGGGGGGAATGGGGGAGGGCAAGGAGTCAGCCCAGCCTCACCTGTCCGCCCCCCAGGACCTGGGAGGTGCAGCCCAGAGCAGCTGCCTCGAGGAGGGAGCATTGGCCTCAGTTGTGCTGTGGGGTCCAGAGAAGTCTCAGCCAGATGACCTCGCCAGGCCCCAGGGTCCACTGGAGGGAGAGCGGGGGAGGGGAGGGGGGAAAGGAATGGCAGAGGTGGGCTGCGGGGCACCCGGTCCCACTGGAAGATGTTGATCCAGTTGGCGAGAGTCTCCTGCATCCGCTTGTGCTGTGCCTGCAGCTGGTGAACGTGGCCCGTCTCCTACGCAGAGTCCATGGTGGACATGGGCTGGGAGAGCCGGCTCAGGGCCCTGGACAGCCCTCCTGCTTCAGGTGTCCTGGAGCCCTAGGGAGCTGCTGGGGAGTGTGGGGCTGATGAGCCATCAGGCCTGGAGCCCTTTGGGTCGAGGGGCCAGTGGCAGACATTTCCCTGCTGGAGATGTTGGAATGGAGGCTGGGGGAGGCGTGTGGATATGACGGCTCCTCCATGGGACGGGGTGCCTCTGTCAGGGGTAAGGAGACCCTCCCTGCCAGGCTGGCTGCCCACATTGGAGCCTCGCCGGGGGAGGTTGGGGTGCTCCTGGCTGGGGCCCTGCACTTGAATGGCCCAGGGCCCCCTTTTGCCCACTGCACTTTCCAGATTATTCTTTGAGCTCTGGTGCCAGAGGTCTCCCCTGGGCCACAGCAATTGGCTGCTGCTCCTCGGGATAAACCGCTCACCTTGGCGATGTCTGGGCCTGGGGAGGAGACGGGCTGGACGGATGGGGACACAAGACAGAGGAAACTGTGGGGCAGGAGCGAGCCGTCAGGAGAGGCGGAGGCTGGAGCCAGGCTGCGTCATGGCCTCCTCTTGAGCCAGCAGGACGGTGGGAACGCACAGCCCGCATTAACCTCCCACCTGCCGCGGGGCGTGGCCCAGGCTGGAGGGGGCGGCTCAAGAATGCTCCAGACCATTGGTCAGATCCCCTTCTTCATCATGTCCCCAATGCCAGGTGGGGGCCCTGGCTCCCAAGACACAGAGGCCCATGGGCTGTCCTCCAGTCACTGCGGTTGGGAGCCCCATGGAGGAGCTGCAGTCGGGGGAAAGGAACTAGGGCAGAAGCTCTGTCAGCAGCATTTGCACCCACTTCCCAGTCAGGGAAGGCCTTTCTGCACCCACAGGGCCTCTCTGGGGCACACACAGGGCCTCTTTTGCACCCGCTTCCTAGTCAGGGAATGCCTTTCTGCACCCACAGGGCCTCTCTGGGGGCACCCACAGGGCCTCTCTGGGGGGCACACACAGGGCCTCTCTGGGGGCACACACAGGGGCTCTCTGGGGCACACACAGCCAGGGGTGGGAGGGAACATGCTGGGCCGGAGCCCCCTCCCTTCCCCTCCTGGGGAATTGTCCGACTCTGGGCTCGGCTTTCCAGCCCAGACAGAAAGGCACCCCAGGGAGACAGAACGTGCTCCCTCACCCCCGGGGCTGCTGTCTGAAAGGGACTCCCCCTGGGAAGGGTAACCTGGATCCGAAAAGGCCATGGAGACCACAGTGGCTCCTTCAAAGCCATGGTTCCCTGTTTGGGCTCCAAGACGGGGCCCCAGCGCCTAAGGGCCCCGGAGTTGGCCAGCGGGGCTCCGAGGACAGCGTGCGAGGGAGCGTGAGTTCTGCTGCAGGCGGCTCACAGAACAGTCTGGCTGAACTTTGGAGCAGCTTCCAAGCTGGGGGATGTGTCTGTGGTCGCCCACCCGGCAGCCCTGGGAGACTTGGGGAGACACAACACTCCCCAGGGAGGTGTCCCTGACAGGCAAGGCCAGCGAGGGGAGGCGCGGCCACTGCCTGGGCATTAGAGGCAGGGAGGGCGACTCACACTGAACCCGGGCTGTGGATCTTGGGGTGGGGCAACTCCCCTACATCTGAGAGGAGCTTCCTCCCGTGATCC